CAGCAAACATAGAAAGAGACCAAACTTCATCACTAGAAGAATTAATTTGAAGCAAATTCTGATCAAATTTAGCTTTTATTCTACTACACTATTTATAGGCAGAACAAATTCTGTTGTTTCCTCCAGGGACGGAGAATAACTAGGGCTAGGGGGGCCATGGCAACCTTAAGCTCTTGAAAAAAAAATTAATGTACATCCTAGTTATTTATAAAATCATTAAAACACTTATTTAAAAAAAAAAATCATGACTCTCCTAAGCTCTTGAAAAAAAATTAATATACATCCTAGTTATTTATCAAATCATTAAAACACTTACTAGAAAAAAAAATCCTAATTCTGCTAGTGCTTGCTTGCTTGCTTTTGCTTCTTTTCTTTTTTTTTTTTAAGTCTTTGATAATTTTAAAGTTACTTTATTCTTACATAATTTAGAATAAGGCATAATTTAAAAGTTAATAAAATATAATATAAAATTTAAAATCTAATATAAAAAATTAAGTGCAATTAAAAAAGTAAAGCGCTGCTCGGGTAAACAAAATTAGCATACAGTATAACTAAAAACTAAACTCTCTCGGATATGATGTGAATGAATGAGTAATTAATTCAATGATATAAATGAAGTTTTAAAGACAAGAATTGGCATTTTAACTCGTTGAGTCGAGTGGTGTTTATTACTTTGTTAAGATGCAGTTTTCTTTTTTTCTTTGAAGTTGAGTTTAAACTTCATGATACTTTATTACAAAAAAAAAAAAAAAAACACGAATTCAATGATCCAAAGGACATGTAATTGCACCAAACCAGGAGTCCCTCTTCAGTCCGCGTCTGCACTCCGGATTGACCTGCAAAGCCCCGAAATGGAACTCGAGGTAGACACTCCGATGCTTAAGTCAGCAATAATCGGGACTATCTTTAGAGCAGAGATAAAAGGAGTTTAGGGTTGGTTTCAATTACCTTTTTGACGTGGTCCCTGGGGGGTATTTATAGGATCTAATGAGGAACCCACGTGGCATGCCAAGCAAGATAATCGGAGCCTGACATGTCTAGCCAGACGATTATTCCGGGACCGGGAATTTGAGAGATATTCAAATGCAAAGATGTCCATCATAACTGCTGTGCAGCTCATCATAAGGGATCAGGTGCGGGCATGTTCATTGTCGCTGTCATGCAGCTATTTGAGCGGGAAGCTTTGGATTTATCCTTCACTTCAGTCATAAAAAGAATTACTGTAGCAGTCCGAGGCTTGGCACCTCGGACCTATCCTTACACTATTCCCCCTTGAAGTCATTCACTTGTGAATGATGTTGTTGGGGATAATGTGAGGAGTGCATAAACAAAGAGAATACGGATAAGTCATACAAGTAAAAGGAAGAAGTAGAATCTGTAACTCGGATGCATACATAGCCGTAACTAATAATGAAGTATACGATAGGGGGTCATGCTGGGGATGCTTAAAATAGAATGTGACCAGAGCAATCGTGGCCGTAGCCATGGTAAAAATAATGACCGGAGTCAATGTGGCCGTAGCCATAGTAAGAGATGATGACTGGAGTCATGGTGGCCAGAGCCGTAATAAGAAGTAATGGCTGAAGTCACAATGTAACCAGAGTCGTGATAAAAAATGATGACCGGAGTCATAATAGCCGAAGCTGTGATAAAATATAATGACCAGAGTCATAATGGCCGAAGCCGAAGTAAAGCATCTGACACTGGGTCATTATGGCAGTAGCCGAAGTGAAATGTGTGAAAGTGGGTCACTGTGGCAGTAGCCGAAGTAAAATGTGTAATGCAGGATTGCTGTGGTCGAAGCCGAAGTGAAACACTTGCAAAAATTGAGAATGTGTAAAAGTAAGTGAGAGTGTTGAAATGGGTTTAAGTGGGCCCGTCTGAGAAGTCTGACAAAGGGGTAGTGCGTGGTGTAACAGTTGTCCTTTGAATGACGTGTGCAATAAATGCGATCGTAAAAAGATAACTGCAACAGTTAAACGGGCAGATTTAAAAACGAACCGTCGAGTTCAAAACAGTGCCGTTTGGGGTTGGCCGTCGAATTCCAAACGGTGCCAATAGGAACCGTAAGATTAAACGAATCTCAGCCGTTGAGATCTAATTTTGCCCAGAGGTATAAATAGGCATTTTTTCTGCAGAAAGAGGTTTACTTGCATTTCTTTTTCTGCAAAACTTCTGTGAAAAGCTTTACTGTGTGTTTCCTGCACGTGAACTGCTGCATCATTTGGGGATTTCTACATCAAGCTTTCGAAACCGAAATCAAGTAATGTATACGAACCTCTGATTTTGGTTTAGTCGAAGTGTCACTCTCCTTTCTCCCTTTCTGTGGTTGATTTAGAGTCCTTTGAAGGAAGTTAGGGTTAGAAATGAGAATGATTTTGAATGTGCAATAGAGGGGGTTTTTTTTTAAAAAAAAGGGTCCTGACTTCATTCTTCCCCCCTATTTCGTGTGGAGATTGAGAAAATGTCTTCAGAAGAAACAATAAATGTAATAGGGAGTGAGGTGATGCCCCTGGACTATGGGAGTATGGACTCGGAGAGTAGTCCATCTCCATCTAGTTCGAAGAAAAGGGTGGAGGGGGTGAGAGGAGATGAGGTGGTGGAGGTTGGGGGGAATGAGATGGTGGGGGTTGAGGGGGATAGTGTGCCTATCACCGTGGTAAAAGTAGAGGGTAGGGGAGAAAAGGGGTATGAAATAGATGCAGATATAATGGAGGAGGTGAAGCAGTATAGATCTGAACTGGGGACCAAGGATAGCCTGGGTCATTTAGTGGAGAATTACGAGATCTCTTCCCGAGTGTTAGTTAGGCCAGCCGGGGTAAAGGAGAGAGCGTGCTCTGCTCCTCGGGATCATTGGATGCCTGTATATGCCCATTATTTATTTGCTGGGCATAGGTTTCCAATTCCTGAGTTACTAGTAGGTTTGCTACTAGATTACGGTATAGGGTTGGCACAGTTAGTCCCTAACGCTATGAGGGTAATAATAGGATTTTTAGTTTATTGCCGAGTTCAGGGGATTAGTGTGCCAACCGTAAATATGTTTAAATACTTTTTTGTTTTAAAGGGGGGTAGTAGGAAGGATAAAGGGTGGTATTATTTCACCCCTAGGGTAGCGAATAAGGAGAGTAGGGCGTTGTTTATGGCGGGTCCTTCATCCATTAAAGGATGGAAAGAGAAATTTTTTTTTTGTAGATGATACAGAGTGGGAGAGAAGGGATGCCGAGGTGAGGGAGTTAGCATCCTGGAAGGCTAAAAGAGCCAACCAGAATAAATTTAGTTTAAACGAGGATGAGGAAGAAGTGGGGAAACTGGTGAGGAAGGGGGGGATTTACTGAACATCATGGACCTCACCAGCGCACAATGCATAGAAGCTGCTGAGCTCTATGGGCCAAGCGCTTTAAGTGAAGGTTTGTTTAATTTGCATTGTAGTACTGAATGTAGAATATAGAACTGTGTGATTGATATTGTGTTTTCTTGCTTTGCAGCTGAAATGGATAAATTTTTGAACACTGCTGGAGGAGTGGCCATCCCCAAGAAGCCAAGGAAGAAGTCAAAGACTTCAACCAAGTAAGTGGATGAGGGGAGGGCTGGGAAGGAGGTAGTGCCCACTACTTCAGCTGAGGTGGAAGAGGAGGTGCCACAGTTGAAGAGGAAGGGTTGGGAGGAGAGGAGGGCACTACAGAAAAAGAAGGTGGTGGAGGAGGAGGAGAGGGGGAGCAAGGTTCCCCAGTTCGTACCTCAGCCTCCTCCTGTAGAGCTGGACCTTGAGCTCAGACAGTTGGAGGAAGGGGCTGAAGTACGAGCTCCCGGTAAGGGAAAGGGCCCTGTTCCCCCGTTGGCGTCCCAGAGCAGCCTGTTCGAGGCGAAGAACATGACGGGGGCTAGGTGGTTCATCAACACCACCTTCCCCAAAGTGGACAAACGCAACGCACGGGACGAGGCTCTGAGGTATTGTGGGGCTTCAATGGTGAAGCACGTTTTAAAGGTATATTGAGTTATTTGTATTTATTGGTGTTGTTTGTTTAATCTCTTTCTTCTTCTCTTCTTCTTTTTTTTTTTTTTTTAACTTTTGCTTTGATTTGCAGAGCGCGAGCTGGGTGAATGGTCTAGCCCAGGAGTTCATGGATAGTGTGAAGGAGCGCTCCCTCTTGCAGAGGCAGTGTGACCAGCTGCAGAAAGAGAAGGAGGAGTTGGAGAAGAAGAATGAAGAACTGCAAGAGGAACTGAACGAGGTGGTTTCAATTGTGAAACAGCTGGAGCAGGAGAGGGCTTCCCTGAGCACCAAGCTCATCTTTGAGGAGAGCAAACGAAGGATCTTCAAAAGCGAGCGTGAGGCTCAGGCGAAGGAAATAGCGTTGATGAAGGATGCTTTCATGGAGCTGAAGGAGAATATGCAGATGTTGGTGCACAATGGGATGAAGGAGCACATCAGCAACTTCATCAGCTCTAGCTCGTTTGACAACATCGTCAACTTGTACCGGCTGCCCACTGCCATCATTGCTTTCACGGACTATAGAAAGAAGGTGAAGGCTGAATATCCCGAAGTGGATATTACAAAGATCACCTTCGGCGAGCAAGAAGGAGGAGTTGAGGAGAACGGTGAGAGCATGTCAACAGACTTCCGTCCTCAGATCAAACTGAGGTGGGAGCATGATGCAGACGGACGTGTTGTTTTCCCTCCACAGTTCGACTTTGAGTTCATTACAGTGGAGGAAGAAGGTGCAGAGGTAAAGGAAGACGAAGTGGAGGTAGGAGTGGAAGGAGCTAAAGTGGATGAGAGCCAATCAGTTCCAGAAGTGGAGATTCATCCTGTTCCTTCTGACGATGAGCAGCCTCCTCTGCCAGACAAGCAGCAGCCAACACAGCCACCTCTTCCAGCTAAGCAGGAGCAAGTGGAGCCACCTCCCCCAGCAAAGAAATAATTTTGTTTTTTAATTTTTGTAAAACATTTAAACAATTTGTAATATTACCTTGAATGAAAATTCATTTTTGAAATCATGTGTTTGTTTGTGTTTGCTTTACATTTTTGTTATTTTTTATTAATAAAAGAACTGAGATTATTTGAGACGTGATTTGAAAGAAAGTTAACCACTTCAGAAATGAACCAAAGGGAAGTAAGTCACTTAAGACGAATTAAGAAGAAGTAAATCACTTCAGATAAATTAAGAAAAAGTACATCACTACAAATGAATTAAAAGGAAATAAAGCACTTCATATGTGAAGTGACATTTATTAATCAGAAGTGAGGTTCAAGGAATGAATGGACTGATTGATCTCGGATACATAGAATAAGAGGTAAAATGAATCTCAACAATCATGAAGTAAGAACTGTAAGACATAGATCCCTTGAAAGAATTTTATTAGGGGTAAAATTTCTTCAAGTTATTGACATTCCAGACTCTAGGAACTCTCTTTCCTTCAGCGTCTTGGAGGACATAAGCACCAGGATGTGGCACCTCGGCCACGGTATAAGGGCCTTCCCAATTCGAGGCGAGTTTGCCGAAATGAGTTTCAAACCCTGTTAGGCCAGCTTTTCTGAGAACAAGGTCTCCTACTTTGAATGTTCGAGGGCGGACTCGTTTATTGTAGAAGTTGGCTAGTTTCTGCTTGTATACAAGAGTCCGAAGCCGTGCTTCCTCTCTGACCTCGGCAAGCAGATCAAGGTTTTCCCGAAGCAGCTGTCCATTTCATCCTTCATCGAAATGGGTGACCCGGAAGCTTGGGACTCCTATTTCAATAGGAATGACTACTTCGGTACCAAAGTCGAGATGATAGGGTGTTTCACCTATTTCAGTTAATTATAACTTTAGAATGCGCTTTATGCATTATGCATATTTGCTCTAAGGTAAAGCCGTAACAGAAGAAGTAAAATAATATAGAAATTAATCAAATAGACCAGGTTTGAAGTAATACCTGTGGCAGTTCGGCTCGTGGTTCTATATGCCCAAAGGACGTTATTGAGCTCGTCTGCCCATTTGGCCTTATGTTGTTCCAATCTCGGCTTTATACCTTCTAAAATGCATTTGTTAACAGATTCAACCATGCCATTGGACTCCAGATGGTAAACGGAGGTGAACTGCAATTTGATCCCATAACTGGAACAGAAATCTCGGAATGAGGAGCAATTGAATTGAGTTCCATTATCAGCCACAATCTGATTCGGGATCCCATATCTACAGATGATCGAGCTGAAAACAAAGTCTTCGACCTTCTTGGAGGTAAGACTAGATAATGGCCGAGCTTCAGCCCACTTTGTGAAATAATCCACACCAACAACCAGATGGGTTACAACACCAACCCCTTTCACGAATGGGCCTAAAAGATCCAGTCCCCACTGAGCAAATGGCCACGGTGCTACCAAGTTCGTGAGCTCTTCTGCTGGTTGGTGAGTCAGATGTGCGAAGAATTGACATTTCGGGCATTTCTGAACAAAGTAAGTGGCATCTTTGTGCATGTTTGGCCAGCAATATCCTTGCCTTAAGACTTTGTGAGCCAGAGTTCTAGCACCGCCGTGGCTCCCACAAACACCTTCGTGTACCTCCTAAAGTGCATACTCAGCTTCATAGCGGTTTAAACACCGTAGAAGAGGGAGTGAGAAAGATCTCTTATAGAGGACCCCATCAACAAGTGTATACCGAGATGCTTTCTTCCTCAACTTCATTGCCTCCTGCCTGTCCTCAAGTACTATCCCATCTCGCAAAAAGGAGATAATTGAGTGAGTCCAACTCGACGTGTCAGGGTCTGTGCTAATTTCCATCATCCGAGGCTTCATGAAGCTTGGTTCATCTAAGACCTCTATAAAAACTGATCTGGAACTTAAAGAGCTATCAGAGGCAAACTTGGAGACTGAATTTGCCTGTTCATTCTTAGTTGGGGAATTTTGCTCAGATAGAATTTCTGGAATTTGCATTTCAGCTCGGCCACCAAGGCTACATATTTCACCATCACAGGATCAATGACTTAGCAGATTGAGTTGATTTGGTTCACCACCAATTGGGAGTCACTGTATACTTGAATCGCACTGATTTTCAACTCCAATGCTAGCTGTAGACCAAGTAGTAGAGCTTTATACTCAGCCATGTTATTTGTTGCATCGAAGTTGAATTTCAGGGCATGTTCACTTCGGTATCCCTCTAGACCAATCAAGAGAGTGCCAGCTCCTGAACCCTTGCTACTAGATGCCCCATCAACATATAAGGTCCAGTCGTTGGGCTCTGGATTAGAAGTTGAAGGACATGGAGTGCATTCGACAATAAAATCTGCTAATACTTGACCTCGGATTGCTGATCTCTGCTGAAATGTTATCTCAAATTCCCCCAGTTCTACTGCCCACTTAATTAATCTTCCAGAGCACTCTGGTTTCTGCAGAATCTAACGAAGAGGTTGATCTGTGAGGACGATAATTGGGTGTGACTGGAAATATGGTCTCAGCTTCCTAGCCAAAGTGACAACTGCTAATGCTGCTTTTTCAGCTATAGGATACCTCAGCTCTACTCCGTGCAGTACACTGTTGATATAATAGATTGGTTTCTGCTGCTTGGTTTCTTTTCTCACCAAAACTGAACTAATGTCTTCATCTGAAATTCCCAAATACAAATAAGAATCTCTCCATCTACGGCCTTAGTCAGTAGAGGTGGCGAGCTAAGATAAGACTTCAGCTCGTCGAATGCAGCTTGGCATTCTTGATTCCATTCAAATTTCTTTTGTTTTCCTGATTCATCCTTCTAGGCGGCTGACCTCATAATCTTGAAGAATGGTAGGCACTTATCTACTGACTTCGATATAAACCGATGAAGGGTTGCCACCCTTCCAGTCAACCTCTGTATATCTTTTATTGATTTCAACGGTTCCATCTCGATAATTGCTCTGATCTTCTCTGGATTGACCTCAATCCCTCTTCGGGACACCATGAAACCTAGAAACTTTCCAGACTCCACGCCGAAGATGCATTTGGCTGGGTTTAACCGCATTCTGTTCTTTCTGAGGTTGTTGAAAGTTTCGTCGAGATCAGCTAGATGGTCTTCTGCTTTCAGGCTCTTTACCACAATGTCCTCGACATACACCTCCAGATTCCTACTGATCTGAGCTCGGAAGATGATGGTCACCATTTTTTGATAAGTAGCACCTGCGTTCTTTAAGCCAAATGGCATCATGACATAGCAATAAATTTCATCGCCAACATAGAACGAGGTTTTCTCTTCGTCTTCTGGAGCCATCAGCACCTGGTGATACCCATAATATGCATCCAAGAGACTTAATCTCTCATTGCCTGAGGCCGCTTCAACTAATCTGTCAATGCTCGACATTGGATAGTAATCCTTGGGGCAGGCTTGGTTAAGATTTGTGTAATCGATGCACATTCGCCATTTACCATTTGCCTTCTTCACCAGGACTAGGTTAGCCACCCATTCGCAATAATCAACTTTTCTGACGAAACCAGCTTGTAAAAGTTTCTCTACCTCTTCTCTTCTTTTATAGCCTGAAGCCTCTCCCCCCTGAAGAGATGTCGCTTCCGGGCTACTGGTTTCTTCAACGGATTGGTGCTAAGCTTATGTTGGGATACTGAGGGTGGAATTCCTGGCATGTCTGCCGAGGTCCACGCAAAGACATCATTATTAGCTCGAAGAAAAGCTATTAGCTCTGTTCTTTCCTCCGGGTTCAATCTAGTTCCAATTTGCGTCTTTCGGCTCGGATCTCTTTCATCAATGAGCACTTCTTCAACATCTTCAATTGGAGCAGCTCTGGGTTCATCTTTCGGTCGGTTATCTACTATTTCAACACCCATGACTTGTTGATTATCAGGAATCCATTGGGGAATGACCTCGGGTGCCTGATCTTTGCCCTTTTTAGGTTGTCTGACCGAGGTGATATAGCAATGTCTGGCCACCTCCTGGTTACCCCTCAGTGTTGCTATTCCCATAGGAGTTGGGAATTTCATGCATAGGTGAGATTGAGAAACCACAGCTCGGATTTCAGTCAGCGTGGGTCGACCAATGACAACATTGAAAGAAGACGCCATCTTGACTACTAAGAACCGGACTGAAGGAGTCACATAGGTTCAACCACTCCCGAAAGCCACATGGAGGGTAAGAACTCCTTCTACCTGAATAGGCTGGTTATTGAAACCATAGATGGGACCATCATATCTTTGTAACAACACTGGATCCAGTCCAAGACTCTCGAAACAGTAAAGTACATGATATCTGGTGCACTCCTAGTGTCAACAAGGACACGTTGTACTTCACAGTTGTTAATCATGACAGAAGTGACCAAGGGATCATTGTGGGCCGTAACAACTGTGTCAAAATCAACAGATGTGAAAGTAACAGGTTGATTCCTCCAGTCAGCGTCGTCAAATTTTCATTTCTGAGCTCGGTTTTGATGCTTAACCTCTCTGACATACAGCTTTCGTTGTTTAGAGCTCAATCCACCTGCTTCCAGACCTCCCGTAATCATGTGTATGATTCTAGCTAGTGGTGGGAGTGGAGGTGGGGCTTGTTGATATCCCACACTTTTCTTGTTTGGGGGATTGCGGACTCCTTGAGGCTATGGCCTCTGTTCTTTGACAAATCTCGGCTGTTCAGCTCTCCGAATGTACTCATTCAACATTCCCTTCTGAGCTAGACTCTCCAGTTCGGACCTTAAACTGTTGCACTGCTCTGTAGTATGACCGTGATCTTGATGAAAATCACAATATCTGGTATGATCTCGACTAGTAGCAGCAGTCTTCATTGGGCCAGGACACCTTAAATCGATCTTATTCTTGATCTGCATAAAAATCTGTGACCTCGGCAAATTAAAAGGAGTCCAATTAACTGGAGGTTTACCTGTAGATTGTTGCGGGGGTGTAGAGTTCGGCCATCCGAATCTCAATGTGGAGGTCAGCATCGGACCTCGGTTCTGTGCCATCCTCATCCTTTTCCTGCTCGAATTGTCATCTTTCCATTCTGGGTTTCGGTTCTTAGAGGGAGTTGGGTTCTGCGCCGGGGCGTATTCCTCAGCAGTTATAAATTTCAGAGACTTATCATTCACCTCGCTAAAGGTGGTGGCAGGATGTTTGATCAAACTGTCTCTGAACCTGTCATGGTTAAGACCGGAGATCACAGCAGCGATCCCCACAGCTTGGTTGAAGGAACTAACCTCCAATACCGCATCATTGAATTTGCTCATATAGTTCTTCAGAGATTCTCTATCCCTCTGTTTAACTCGCATAAACTCAGAAGTAGTTTTCCTGATCAACCTTCTACTGGAAAACTTAGTGGCAAAGGCAGATGCCATTTCTGTATAAGAGCTAATTGACCTTGGAGGTAGACTGTAATACCAAGTTCGAGCATTACCTCGGAAAGTAGAGGGAAAGATCTTGCACATCAACGCGTCAGAGGCATTCTAAGCTTGCATGCAAGAGTAGAAAGCATGCAAGTGGTCATCGGGATCCTTCGTCCCATCATAAGTCTCAAGCTGAGGAATTTTGAAGCCAGCAGGATAAGGTTCCAATGTGATGTTGGTGTTCAGAGGATGAGGTATAGAGTCAGCAGCATGGTGTGGGGGTGGGGCCCCTCGTTGATAAGCTACTAGCTTTTCTAGGCTGTCTAGACGTTTAGTGACATCATCAGGAAGGGGTTGCTGAACTGGTGCTATGTGAGATTGACCTTGAGATTCACTAAGAGCAAGAGCATGCTAAACTGGTTGAGGATTCTGTTGTGGAGCTGGGGGTTGTGGGGCAGGGTTCAGTAAATTAATGAGGGGATCACCAGGATTGTTTCTAGCTAAAAGCTGAGCCAGTACCAACTGAAAAACACCGAACTGTTGTTGCATGGCAGCAAGCTGAGCTGTCACTACGTCTTGGTTGGCAATGGAAGTTGAGTTGTGAGCTGAGGTATGAGGTTGGTTTTCATCTCCTCCTTCTGCATGATCAACAAGAGGGAATATATTTGGGATGTGAGGTGGAAGTTGAGGTGGGAGCTGAGGTGGAAGGTTGTTGGGGAGTTGACCTTGCCCAAGAGGCAGAGATGAATTGCCAGCTCGAACTAATCGAGTGTTAACCATGATGAAAGAGCAACAAGAAAGCTTTTAGTTCGGATTCCCACAGACGGCGCCAATGTAATTGCACCAAACCAGAAGTCCCTCTTCAATCCGCGTCTGCACTCTGGATTGACCTGCAAAGCCCCGAGATGGAACTCGGGGTAGACACTCCGATGCTTAAGTCAGCAATAATCAGGACTACCTCTAGAGCGGAGATAAAAGGAGCTTAGGGTTGGTTTCAATTACCTTTTTGACGTGGCCCCTAGGGGGTATTTATAGGATCCAATGAGGAACCCACGTGGCATGCCAAGCAAGATAATCGGAGCCTGACGTGTCTATCCAGACGATTATTCCGAGACCGGGAATTTGAGAGATATTCAGATGCAAGGATGTCCACCATAACTGCTGTGTAGCTCATCATAAGGGATCAGGTGCGAGCATGTTCATTGTCGCTGTCATGCAACTATTTGAGCAGGAAGTTTTGGATTTATCCTTCACTTCGGTCATAAAGGAATTATTGTAGCAGTTCGAGACTTGGCACCTCGGACCTATCCTTACAAGACACAAATTCAAATGACTGCAATCAATAAAGCAATCTAATCCTTGAATATATTTGACCCGTGAAGAACGAGAAAATAACGCCTGTTCTTCACTGACCACGGAAATCAATTCGTTATATTTTCGTTTTGTCTAAACTGCGTCAATCATGTTCTTAGTCTTAAGAGTGTCACTTGTTGGAAACTCTTGTCCCTTGATTATAAAGAATCCAATCCATTGGCTAAATCTTTTTATTAGAAATATACTAGGGGATTACTATAAAAATTTTGTGAAGATGACGTATAATTAAATTTTGCTAATCAAAACAACTTAATATAAAATTAATTAATCAAACTTTCACAATTTATAATATAATTAATAAATAGGGGAAAGTGC